AACGACTCATACGAAAATCGCATAATTACATCTTACCCTTCTACCGCGTCAGAAATGATTAATTCTAATAATTTCACTCCTTTCATTAAGTTTTATTTATATTTTAAATATTTTATTACACCTTTATTACAATAAAGAAAGATGAGTAAAGTTAGAATAATAAGAACAACTTTTTTCTCGCATCCTGTGCATAATTAATTAATGGTACTTGCATAAAGATGTAAAAGGTAGTGACGCACACGACAAAATATATTCATATGTAAATCATAAGGTAGTAGAAAACTGTTCTTCACTGGGAAAGCAACAAAATTGATTGCAGCAACATACTTTGGTGATGCATCGTACACTCCTAACCCATTGAATCAGTAATTTATATTCAGATCATGTATCTGTATTAAGTATTCCACTATGTGTCTAGAATTTTGTCCATTTTTTATGTCACTATTTAAACATATTAAATCTTCCAAGGGTCTGACATATCATTCTATACAATGTAACGTGTGTTATTAATATTGAGTGTTATATTTAAATCATGTTTTATAAAAATAATAACTGTCAAAAAATATAATATGATTTTCAATACACCAGAGGAATGAAATATATTTCCTTCATAATTGTTGGTATAGTTTACATTGTACGATCCCTTAAAACGTCGTATAAAAATAAGTACAACATGTAAAAAATAGACCTGGGTGTATTAAATTTAAGAAACGTTAATTCTTTGATTTCAATTTGAGAATCGAACTTTAAAATGTATATTTAACAATTTTTATATTCACCACATGCGGGAGAAAATGAATTTTTCGAACATATTGAAACGCAAAAAGGAACTCGAACTGGCAGGTGTGTCGATTACACATCCTCGATCTTCGGAATTATTTCTTCCGTTTAATGTTTCATAGTACGAACGAGATTGAGTTACGTTTCAAAGTGAAGTGCGAGTGGGAGTCTTAGTATCAATCTCTATATCAAACGTTAATATTTAGACACGTGACACATGTCTGTCGCACATTGATTTTCTAGACTGATAATTCATTCAACAACATGTCGGTTCAGGTGCGGCATTATCAATATTCGCTGAGTTTACTGTCAATTTTAATGCTAATTAATTTCAGTCAACGTTTTATGTTTATTTTGCGTGGTGTTGGCAAATAAATGGATAATTATGAGTTAATTACATATTCTGGGTCGTTTTCGAATAAATTGCTATGATATCCAATGATATTTCTGACAAAGTTCTGTTTATATTGTTCAATTTTTCATCGTGCGCGAATCAATTTTTGTATAAAACATTGTACAAACATGTACACGATCTATTATAATAGAAAACTTAGGAATCGTTTTTATTGTCGTAATCCGACCTGATTGGCAGTACATACTTCGTTCCCACTTTCTTACGCAAGATACTGTTGTCACTAACTGATTCAAGGCCGATCGTCTGCAATTTATTCACGAGGCCCCCTAATCCATTTACTTCAAAGAAGCGGAACTTCGGAGTACAATTAGAACGACTATGAACGAAGGTTACCGTATGCAAATCAGTTTTTTCCTCTTAAATTTTAGAGCAATCGGAATCTCCTTTCAAAATACCATATCTCAATCCTTGTCATGGTGGACGCTTAATCCCGATGATATCATTATACGTTACGGTCGCTACTAACACAACTGTTATTGACCCTTCTAATGAATTTCAAGCAGTTATACTACCTTTAATATTCTAAAATTATCATCGGGCCTTTTTTTTAGTTGTCAATCGAAGGCTGTTAGAAACGGCTTAAAACACTAAAGAAATATTGAAATATTTTATGAGAAGATACCAGAATGAACAGTCTGAAGTTTAATGAGAATATGATAAGTGAATTCTGTTTCAGGTGCCCATGATTATCAAAATGCGATGGCCCCATATACTTTTCACGATACCCTGCTTCATATTACACGTAAGTATAATGAAACATTGAAAATCTTATTACCAAATTCTCATTTGGATAATCTTCAAGACACAAATTCACTTTAAAATTAAATAAAAATAATTCGACTTTCTCATTCAAAAGAATTCTGTATCAGATTTGTTTTGTATGTTTAAAAGATAGTAAAAGATAGTAATTTTAAAGGTATCTTTCTACGTTCGCGTACACGGGCATGGGCGCTTGATGGATCCACCAGCGCGAAACAGCATGTGGAGGTTCGGATACCCGAATCCTGTGAACTACAATGACAATGAGCTCTTCTGTGGTGGATACGCAGGTCAGTAGTATAATGATAAGTACCATTTATAAAAGGGAATTAACTTCCGAATAATATCGAGCAGCGATAAAGTAGTAATGAATAACTTTTAATATAGATATCTTCTTTCAGTACAATGGGTGCAGAATGAGGGACAATGTGGAGTATGCGGAGATCCTTACCACTTTAAAGATCCGAGACCACACGAAGCGGGTGGCGAATACGCGAAAGGAACTATTGTTAGACACTACACGGCCGGCCAGGTAATTTAATTTAATTTAATTTAATTTAATTTAATTTAATTTTTTCTGATCGTTATTAATTCAAAACAAAAACAAAAGTTGAAGACAAAAAGTACAATACATTTCTTTACTTTGCAGGATATTGACGTTGAAGTCGAACTTACAGCGAATCATTTGGGAAGATTTGAAATGTACCTTTGTCCAAACAATAACCCAAGAAATGAGGCAACCCAAGAATGTTTCGATAGGTAAAACAAATTCGCCTTATATTGTTATCTATATACGAAGTGATACAGATTTGATTATAGTCTTTTTCTAAGGATGTTATAGTTTATTTTTTTATCGCGAGATACACCAACTTACGCTAGCAAATAAACTCTGAACGTCTTATATGTTGTCATAAACGTACGTTCAACGTAATATATCTAACAAAAGAAATTTTCTTTCAAGGTACCCTTTGTATGTCACTGGAACTCGGGATGTTCGATTTGAAATTCCTCTAGACACTGAAAAAAAAGCTATATTTCGGTATAGGGTGTCTTTACCGTCATACGTTACTTGCTCTCAATGTGTAATACAATGGAATTACTACACAGGTTTGTATCGTTAACTTAATTTCATGTTACTCTTATGTTTACGTTACGTTATAAGTGCGAGAACATGAGAGGACGCAAAGCAACTGATGACGACTCGATCAATGTAATGATTTCACATTTACTATTAGGTAACATGTGGGGTATTTGCGACAATGGAACCGAAGCTAGTGGCTGTGGAAGACCTGAAACATTCCGAAATTGTGCTGACGTTAGCATTGTTACAAGCACAGCTGGGGTGCCACCGCTCTTTGTGCAACAAGACAATCCTTTCCTACTTTATTACAAGGACTATCGTTCGCCAAATAATATCTTCCCGCTCGTTGTTAGGTGAGCACTCGTCACTCTCTTATACGTATATGTTTAGTTTGATACTATAAAAATGGTTAATTACTAAGCAGTGTACTTGCGAACGAAACATAAGACAATGATGCATAAAATAATAGATAGATAACAGACTTGATTAAGTATACAAGTGAACATCGATAAAACATGAATTTAATTTCAGGTCTCAAGTCTGTGTTCCTACTTCCCTTTATCGGCGTATACCGGGAATGGGAGACTGGTGTCAAAGTAATTGTCTTCGGTATCCACCAAACTGCCCTGCGAACATATGCCAGTGTCCGTAAGTATCATATAATGTCTTAATAAACAATTTTAAATCACGCCAATCTAATTTTCTATGACAAATCACCAAATGTCTGCGCAATTGTATTAAAAATAAATAGTGGCCCCAGGAATCCAAGTTTGTATTGCATAAAGACGAGTAGTTTAATTCTCTGAAATTATTATAAATATTATCTTGATTAGCTTAAAAAAAAGAATATAATATTTAAAAGAAGTTAATGTAGTTTATTGAAACAGGGTAAACAGAGGTGTGGTTCGCTTTTACATTCATTGCAGGAGGTGCTAACTTTTTGCGTTAAATTCTCTGCCACCTTTGAACCTAATATTCGGGAATTATTATTATAACATTGAGAAAACTCCAGTCCTCAAGCCGATATTTCGGCTCGTCTGGACCTGAACGGATCGAGAAGCAAGTCGGACTGGGCACTTAACGTGTTAACGGCATGCTCCGGAGTCCTCTTTGTCCCGGCATACGCCCTGCCCAACATCATGGCGTCACGTCACCTTCTGTATGCACGGAAAGGTCGTCGTCACGCCGCAACACATGTGCAAATTAGCAATTCAGGAAGATTACCGCAGCTTTGTGGGGAAAATGCCGTCAGCGTGGCATTGAAACGTCACAGGCCGCTCTGTAATGGCACTATAAATTCGATAAATTCGTCTGATCCGGATCTGCTTTTGTCATGTCCTGTCGAAGAGGAATCCGAGTCGCAGGTCGACTCGAAACACCTCTGTTTATATCTTTCGTGTAACCTAGCCTTTACCCGTTCAGAGAAGTAGCGAGGATCGCTTGATAGTCGCTGAGAATAACGTTAGCAGATAATTTTTCTTTTCTCAAACAAAAATGTTCTCTGAAGCACATATATACAGATTTAAGACAAAGAGATTAAAAGAAAAAATATATTATTTTTAAACAGGGAAATATGCGATGCTACTGGAGAAATAGCTGGGAAAGAAGGTGCAAGTGTTTACTGCATGGACAAATGCCTGGTCTACCCACCTAATTGCCCTCATCATCGGTGCCACTGTTATTGATCAAGTCAAGGTATATCACGCCATTTCAGTTTTTGAATTTTTGAATTTCATAACTTTTATGTAAAGTAACGTGATAATCATTTACGTTTAAGCTGGATTTTTAGAGTTGTAATTAATTTTTCATTTTCAGCAGTAACCCACCAAGTAGGTAAAAACAATATAATTGCTGTTTTCATCGTTTATCAAGAATCGATAGAAATAGTATTCTGAAGCGAATCCCTTCACTTTTATATTATAAGTAAGTCCCCTTGTACACATCAATATAGGTATCACAAAACGAATCGTTTTAATAATAAGCATATTAACCGATTATCATTAAAGTTCCACAGCTACAAAATGCAATTAATATGTTTTACGAGCATTGATTTGTTAGTTACCCAGAAAATGATGTCACCCATTGATTTTAACGCAGTTGAAATATATTATCATGGTCATCGTTCTGAATAACTTTTGCCCATAAATCTTATTACCGTTCTGCTTTAGTTTCCGAGGGTTTGGATTGAATTTATTTTAAATTAGAGTTAGCAAATGCAGCGTACAAAGGACGGTATGTAATACTGAATATATTTTTAAAATATCTAAACAACTGCCGAAATGTTTTGCGAATATTTCGAAAACTAAGGCCAAATGGCAATAATATACATACACGGACAAAAATTATTTTGAGTTATTATGTCCTTGACAACATATTTCAACTCCATTGAATTCGTTGAGTGGTCTCCCCGTTATTGTATAAAACTATGCTCACAATGGACGTGAATTCACACGAACTGGGATTCTGGCGAAAACACGTTGGAAAAACCAAATCCATTGGTTCTTACAGGAGTCGTTGCACTGCATGCGTTGCGGTTTTCCAAATTCAAGGAATTTCAAGGAGGATAGCGAGCACAAACCGGAACGGCAATAATCGAAAACAACGAAAAAGTGAAAAAATGTTAAGCCGGATCCGAAACTCCATCTATTATTTCATTGAACGCATCATCTATACACTCCTCTTCTTTAATTTCATATCTTCAAATACGAACTGTAGCGATCTTCCATTCGGTAGCATTGGAAATGGCACGTACAAAGAAAAATCCTTTTCGGACAGTGAAGTCATTCACAAAAAATGTGACCTGAAAAGTGGCCAATGTCTTTGAGAACCAAAATGCTATGAGAAGTTCTGAAATTGTGCCATTGTCACGAGAAACCATTTTCAGAGGTATTTAATGTAATTAAATCATCGTATGGAAACAGAATTAAATACTCTATTAAGAAATTGCCAATATCTTTCGCTCTGCCTAGACAGAAATTCAAATGATAGTGACATAAATCAATTGTCAGTGTTTGTACATCCGGTAAATAAAGATTTTTGGATAAGCGATGAGGTTTTGGTATTAGCACTCTACTCTCGGCAACGCGAGATATTTATAACACGGTTAGAAAAAAGTGGAAAAGTACGGTGGCTTTGAAAAATATACTTGAAATGTAAAGAACGAATTCAGAGGACATTTAATAAAAAATGGAGCTAATTGTCTAACATTTCCTGCATCGAGAAACTGTAAGAAGGTCCAGTACGATCTGACGTAAGTTACGGCGAGGTCGCCAGAGGGCCAACAACAGCGAACCGTTTCTCGCTAGAAAAAATATGATCCACGCGCATAAATGCATGAAGCGTGAAACTTTAGTGAGTACAGTACAGGGTGTTTACTATAATAATGGTCTAGCCCCCTTTTAGTGCTGATATGAAGCACTGAAAAGATCATTTACCGTATTCGAACACAGTTTAACCAGGAAATTTCGCTTATCGATTAGGAATTACACAAGAATTACAGATTAACAAATTTAATTTCATCACATTCATTCAAACATTATGTACATTCAACATGTATTATACATTTTCTTCTGTCGTGTCATGACGTCAAAGGTATTTATACAAATTTGTTACATTTCGCTAAAACCCTTTAGAATTCTTGAACTAAATAGTAAACACTGAGTAATACACGATAAATTGAGATAAGGTTCATAATAACGAAATAAAGGTATGCGCACTACATTGTTTAAAACGGCGTACACTAGTCCTGAAAATATCCATATAATGGAGCTTCTGCATACGCTCTTTCCATGTCGTCGGAATTTCTACGAATTCGTCTTCCAACTGGTTCCAAGTCATTATAACACTTCTCAAAAACTCGATTCACAGCTTCCCGTGCTGCATCTTCCGTAACATTTCGCACGGCAAGTATAGATTTCATAGCCTTGTCCTTGACACAAATCTATATAACAAATATTATGTTACGTTAATAGTTATAGTCCAGAAAATACGTAGACTACCGGCCAAAAGTTTGGAATCACTACGTAAATTTAGAGAAACAGAACATTTTAAAGCGACTGAACATTTTACCTGATGTCTTTCTTTAATATTGAATGGTGAAGCAAATCCTTGGATCCAAGAACCAAGAAAACTGCAGTGACAAAGATTTGCTGCTCTGATTTCTGTGCAAGCTAGATGATTTATATCGTTCAGGTTCATGTTATTTCGGCAAAAATCAAACATATGAATCATTTCATGACTCAAAACACCTTGGACCTTTCCTTTAGAAGTAGCTGTATTTTGACAAACAATAACCTGAAACAGAAAAATTATTATATACAATATTTCATGTAAAAAAATGTTAAACATTTCTAGTGAGAAACTTCTGAATGTAAAGTGTTAAGTATTTAATATTTACCTGATTTAAATCTGGATCATATCCCCCCGTCACTGATGTATCACACACTTCACAGGTAATGTGACGGCGAATATCAATTTCACTGTAAGTATAATTTTTATACATGTAGAATAATAGTATTACAGATATATAGTTTATTTATGTTCAATGCTTACAGTATTTATGCTAATGAAAAAAAGACATGACAAACTTTAAAAACTACAGCATATTCCATTATTGTTTGTATAGATTCTTAAAAATAAAATCTTACACTAGATATATAATAGTACGGCCATATTAAAATAATAGTTAAAAATAAAAAAAAACTGTGTTACATACCACCCTGAACTTTTTAATGCTGCCAGCATAAGTTTAACTAGAGCACCTGAAATGTTGAAACACAAAAAAATTAGTAATCCTTAAAAAAAGGATAGCTGAACGCGATGATAAAAGTATTCTTACACTAAATTAAATTGACGCATAGTGGAAAGAAACCGAATTCAGTGGTCAAAGGTCAATCTTTTAAGGTTTAAACAAAATTAACTGATTCGTTTAATGCAAAGAAAATTGTTTATCACTAACGAATAAAAAAAATTTCTTTTTAGAAGCTCTGATTCTCGAATAATATAATTGTTAACAAATTTGAAAGTGTAAGAGCCGACTCTTGGTGTGTAGCGCGGTGTCCTTTGTCGGAAGCCGATACAGTGTCCGAAAAATTGGGACACACGTGCGGAAACAGTTTCGCAGAACTGTTAACAAGTGCCCCTCAACGCAAAGACGCTTAAAAAGGGAATCGATCATCGATCGTTACGCATTCCGAAGTGGATCGTCAGTCGTGTTCCGATATAAAATAATTAAAAACTTAAAGGAAGCCAATGTAGATTTCCATACGTATCAAATGAGGAAGGATAAATCATACAAAGTTGTATCATTCTGCAGATACAAGGGAAATAGATGCCCTTGCAGAAATGGGTCATAAAGTTAAAAATATATATATATATATAACCTTGTACATAAAGTTACAAAACAACCGCTTTCTTTATGCTGTATGGACCTAGAATCAGCTAGCAACAATAAAGATATTTACGACATACAATTTTTACAACGCGCGAAAGTTCAATTCGAACCACCGTACAAAAGATGAGAGACAGTACAATTCAAACGTTGTCAACGATACTGACGCACTAAATCATATTGTTTTAAATCATATAGACGCGTAAAATGCAGATAAGATCACAATTCCACTACTGGCACCAAAGAAAGGGAAACGCCTGCAAAATGTGTCTTATGTGAAGGCCAACATCCAATCAATTACAAAAGCTGTGTGCTCTATAAAGGAATAAGGAAGCGATGATTTCCCCCACTAAGAGGTAGGCCAACAACAAACAATCAACAAAATCAATTAGATTGGGAGAATACTTCAACTTTATCGACGCACGAGCCGACAAAGGCACGAAGTCGTACACAGCGCAGCCGCATACAATATTAAACAGATTTCGCAAAACCCAAATCATTATGAACCCGTTATAATCATTCAGCAAAATTTCGAAGATCTTAAAAAAATCCTAACCAAGCAAGCAGAACAGATGACAAACCTTTTAAACCGATTAACAATTATTGTATCTAAACTAAAATAACCTGCAAATATAAAATCGCGCCATAAAACGCCAATGTCTTGACTCAACATAGTCAAAAGGTGTACATATTTGTTAGAACTTATAACATAAATATATTATCAATGTCTGAAACGCATTTCACTGAAAGAAACTACTTCAAATGCTCGAATTATAGAAGCTTCTCAACCCTGAGAAAAAAGTTCATAATAGGAGGTGACTTTAATATTATTAAAAGACATTTTAATAATCATTCAATTGGTGAACTAACTATATTTAAATCCAATCGTGTCTCAAATTAACATCAGACCATACTCCTGTCATGATTACAATGTCGTCTTATATTATAACTAAAATAAAAACACCACAACTACACAATATCAAGACAAATCGGGATAAATTTCGGACGCTAATAGAGGATAAGGTACTACTGAACCTACCACTAAAAACTACAAAGGACATGGATAACGCAACAGAATACTTTAACTCTGTTGTACAAGAATCATCCTGGGCCTTAACGCCGGCGTCAAGTTTGATAGAGAAGATAAACTGCTACTTACCTATTAACATA